GGCGCTCCATGGGGTGGTTCAGTGCTTGTCGGGGGGCCCAGCACCCGGCGTTCCTGTTGGCATCTGGGTGTTGCCATCACAAGTCGTGTCCTTCGGGGTCCAAAGTCGTTGCTTTTGGTGTGCTGAGGGGCTGGGGCCCAGGGAAGCTGTGGCCGCCCCATCCCTGGCAGTGTTCAAGGCCAGGTTGGACACAGGGGCTTGGAGCAACCTGCTCTAGTGGAAGGTGTCCCTGCCCGGGGCCGGGGTTGGGGGTGGGTGAGCTTTAAGGTCCCTTCAGCCCAAACCAGGCTGTGGTTCTGTGGTTACGTGCCCTCGTCTCCACTGGTGTAAACTGGGAAGGTCACAGAGTGTTTGAACTGGTGTTTGTTAAGTGTCAGGGTCTCCCTGGTTAAACTGGAGCTTCCTGGGCAATGTTATGTGCAGTATTTCAGGGCGATGTTCTGGAGCTTGTCGTGCTCCTGCCTTTCAGGCTTTTAAAATGCCAGTTTTCCAAGGTTTTCATTTTGCTGCCTTGTGAGAGGCAGCTCAAGGCATCGAGCAGAGGAAGTGGAGCTTATGATGGGGCTAAAAATGGGTGTCCTGGTGTGGGATGGTCCAGCACAGGGCAGGGGTTGAGGAGCTCCATGTAGAGCCTGAGGGCTGTTAATGGCTTGGTTTGGCAGGAGAATGAAGGGTTCAGGGCAATTCCCATCACAGGGAACAAGATTGAGATGGGCGGGGGTAGGAGCTACAGGGTCCAGCCAGAGGTTCTGTGCAGCTGAGCACCCAGAGCTGGAAGTGACCCCCCAGTTGGTTAATGAGATGCACTTGCAGAGCAGCTGCTTCTTCCTCATTTCCCCCCTCTTCTTCCTCCCTGGAGTTAATTTAGACCCTTTTCTGAGGCTCTCATTGACACTTTCTGGAGCTGTAAGTGCTGAGGTCGCACACATCTGCATTTGCTCTGAGTCTCGGGTCTGGAAGGCTTCATGTCACGCTTCTCACCTTCAGCTTTAAGAGAAGCTCCATGAAAAGACAAACTGTTTATTGCTAATTTATGAGTGAGGAATCCAAGGACACTTCTTCACCTTTAAATTTCAGTGCAGACGCAGCCACACTTTGATTTTGTCCCATGAACTTTTTAAATGCTTCCTCACTTTTAAGAAAACCAGAGTGTAAAACGTGATGGTTTAGGGTGTGTATTTGCAGGGCTTTTGTCTATTGCATTGAGATTGCAGAGGATCCAATGGCTTGTGCTCATCAGTTTAACTTGTCCCATGTTTTTTGGCTTCCAAGCTCTGCAGTTTGAGTGTTGAACACACTGGGTAGCCCAATTAAATCTCCTTTTGAAGGGATGTGCTTGGTCAATGATAAAGTGGAGTCCAACATAGTGGACTTACTCAAGGGTTCTGATGAGCTTTAGGAAGTGAAGCCTTAAAGATGGCTTTTTGGTGCCCTAAAACCTTTGTGTGATTCTGAAGTTCTGTTATAAAGTGGGTTGTGTGTAACTGCACGTGGAATAGGTTCAGGAAAAGCATGTTCCTGCTTGAAACGGGTTGAAGATGGCACAGCCGCTTCCAGCCTTTCCAAGCAAGGTTTTCCTGGGAGGCAAAACGCTTTGGAGGGGCAGTGGGATGAGAAAGCTTTGCTGCAAGTGGCAGGAACATCAGGTAGTTTTATCCACACACGTACCCCCTTTTTGAGGGGGGTGATCTCCCCGTGTGCCTCTGCACCTTTGATGGCAAAGGAGGAGGTTTGTAATCTCCCAAACCCATCTGTAATGCACCCAAGCAGCGTATCGTTTCCCAGCTTAACAATCCCTGTGTTGGATTATGGTTTGGGTATTGCCTTGAAGCAAGGAAACCAGCAGCAGAGAGTTACTCTTCACCCTGTTTGATACCCATCCAGAAAATACAGATCTTGGCATATGAGCCCAGTAGTTTATTTAAAGCGATACTTAAAGCAGGCGGGAGCAGGGAAGGTAACAGTCTGAAGCTCAAATAATAAAGTCCAGCAAAGTCGCTTCCCAGCGGTTCTAATTAGGAGCTTGACACCTGTAATCTGGGGATAGAGCCACGTGGTGGTGGTGGTTTGATCTAGGCCTGGTGGAGAAGCTGCTTTGGCAAGTCATGGACCCATTCCCCTGGGTGATTTGGGGTTTTCTCTGGGTGCTGGGGGGGTTTCCCCCCTGGCTGGTGGCGCTGGTCCTGGTGCCGCTCTCAGCCCTGATCCCGGCTCTCTTCCCAGCCAACCTTCCTGGTGGAACTGTCCAGAGTGCTGGCAAACCCTGGCAACAGCCAAGTTGCCCGCGTGGCGGCCGGCCTGCAGATCAAGAACTCCCTCACCTCCAAGGACCCCGACATCAAGGCTCAGTACCAGCAGAGATGGCTCGCCATCGACGCCAACGCCCGCAGGGAGGTCAAGAACTACGTAAGTTTGGTGCCTTCTTGGTTCTTCTCTTCTTCTTTCCTCACCACGGGGATGAGGGATGAACGCCTGGTCCATCCTTTTCCACCTGAGGAGTCCTCCGTTGGGTGGCTGCTCCCTTTCATGAGACAGGCAGTGTCATTGCGCTTGCTTGTAGCATGTTGGATCCATAGAAGGATCAGGGTAAACCCAAGGAAGCAGGTATGAGGCTGCTGCTTTTAGGTTCATACCTCTAAACACTGTTGGAAGGAGCCTCTAAATAGCCTCCTGTGTCTGAACATACGTGTTTACATGAGGCCTAACAAGTTTTAGGAGTAGAATATGGTCCAAGATGTGCAAATTCCCGCTGGGAAATGAGAGTCTTAAATTTCCACACAGGTGGGGAATCTGCCTGGGGATTCCTGTGCTCTTCCATAGCCAAAGCTTGGGACTTACAGTGGCAGAATTGAGTGGCTGGTGGGAGCAAAGGTGTGATGGATGTGTGCAGCCTGATACAAGCTGATCTTACACTTTATATGTTGCTTTTAATGTTAATAGCATCTGTATACAGCAGCCTGAGGTTGAGTGAGTGAGGATGACACCCCCTTAGTCTTCACACTGCTGATAGCTAAGGGGGAACTTGCACTGCGAACAGGGGCTGTCATATTGGGTACTGGAGCTGACAAACCCACTTTATTACTGTTTTCTGTCAAGTGTCATTAGAGAACCAGTATTTTTTCAGTGGATATATGGAAAATGAAGGTGCACAGCTGGAAATACTGAAGCAAACGTGTACCCTCTGCTTGTGAAAGGAATGGTTATTGGAGAATACACAGATTGCCATTAAAATGAGAGAGAATTCCTCAGCCCTGTTGAGATTATCTTGGCATAAACAGTGCAGGATTTGGGGGCATTTTTTAACCGCCAGTGTGTTTGACTTTGGCAGTGTGGCTTTCCAAGACAAGGACTTGCTCGGCGAGTCGCGGCGCATAGCAAAAAAGGGATTTAAAGGATAGGGTGGAATTCCCTGGAATCCCAGAGCTGGATCTCACTTCCTGAAAGGGGCAGCCATGGCCAAGTTGAGTTCAAACATCTTCTGTCCATGCTCGTGGCTTCATTTGCAGCAGAACAAAGTGCTTTACTGGGAAAGGGGGGTGATGTGAATGACAATCCAGTGCCCATTTCTCTTTGGTCACCAACACAAAGCATCTCCTGCCAATCTCTCCCCAGGTTTTGCAGACGTTGGGTACAGAGACGTACAGGCCCAGCTCGGCCTCTCAGTGCGTGGCTGGCATTGCCTGTGCAGAGATCCCCATGAACCAGTGGCCTGAGCTCATTCCCCAGCTGGTAACGAACGTTACGAATCAGCACAGCACAGAGCACATGAAAGAGTCAACGTTGGAGGCCATCGGCTACATCTGCCAGGATATTGTGAGTACATCTGGAGTGTGCTGAGCATGTTTGAAGTGCCTCTGCGCTGGAGCCAGGCTGAGAGAGCTGGGCTGGGGCAGCTGGAGAAGAGAAGGCTCCTGAAGGGGACACCTTAGAGCAGCTCCAGTGCCTAAAGGGGCTCCAGGAAACCTGGAGGGGGGTTTGGACAAGGGATGGAGGGACAGGCCAAGGGGAATGGCTTGAACCTGCCAGAGGGGGGATTGAGATGAGCTCTTGGGCAGAAGCTCTTCCCTGTGAGGGTGCTGAGGCGCTGGCACAGGGTGCCCAGAGAAGCTGTGGCTGCCCCATCCCTGGCAGTGTTCAAGGGCAGGTTGGACACAGGGGCTTGGAGCAACCTGCTCTAGTGGAAGGTGTCCCTGCCCGGGGCAGGAGGTTGGATCTGGATGAGCTTTAAGCTCCCTTCAACCCAAACCATTTGATGATATCTAGTAGGCGGTAATGCTTCCTTGTGTCTGTCTTTTAATACTTGTCTGGAGGATGTCTCTGTGTTGGTGGAACAATGGGCAGTAAATAGGAGGATGGTGCCTGGAAGGACTGACCTGCTTTCACAGCACAAATCCAGGTCATCTCTCATAAGGTGCAGATTGAAGTCTCTATGTTGCTGCAGATGGTGAGGGCTGCTGCTACAAAACTTCAGCTGAACATCCAGCCATGTAAAACATTACAGATGAGTGAGAAGCTTTTGATTCCTTTCTGTGTTGGGGAAACCTCACAACTACCTTCCATCTTGCACGAGGAGGCCCTTGATTCTTAATTTAGGAGGTGTTGATGCACAGGCAAGAACATGCAGCTCATTGAGGCATCTTCTGCAAAAGGTGTCATGGAAGCTGTGGCTGCCCCATCCCTGGCAGTGCTCAAGGCCAGGTTGGACACAGGGGCTTGGAGCAACCTGCTCTAGTGGAAGGTGTCCCTGCCCATGGCAGGGGTTGGATCTGGATGAGCTTTAAGCTCCCTTCAACCCAAACCAGTCCATGATTCCATGATGATCAGCATAGTTTGCAGTATCACAATGTGTTGCATCAAGTCTCCAGTGTGAATTGCTAAATCCCTGTGTGCTGTCTGGAAAACAAAGTTAGCTGCTGTTTTTTTGGTGCCACTGGTTGCCCTGGAGAACGTACGTGCAGCATTCGCTGGTTGAACCTCAGGATAGTGAGGCAGAAAGAGAAATCTTCTGTCTGGGGCTTTCATCAGGCTGCAAGGGGTTGGTTTCAGTGGGGAGGTTGCACCTGTCCTTGCTCCTGCTCCAGGCAATGTATTTTTTCCCTATGTCTAAAAATCTTGGCAACTTTACCACTGAAAGTGTCTGCCTCAGCTGCTGGTGTAGATCTCTGCGCAGTGTATAAAAGAATTGGACATCAGTATGTTTTAACTTGCTAATTGAATGAAGTTAAGTAATCTGAAGCTTTTTGGCCTATTATTTGAAGCAGTGAAGTTTATTTGGCATCGGTGACTTGAATGTCTGGAGTATCTGTGCTCAGCTCAGTCTAATCCTTCCTGTCCCAGAAGCTGTAAAGATACAGTGGAGTGTGAATTCCTTATACTTGTGTTCCAGCCCTCCCAGCAAACAAAGAACTTCTTTTCCTTCATACCTTAAAACTTGTACTTGAAGATTTTGAGATGAAACTTTAAAATGCAGAGAAAGCTGTTCAGCTGGTACATAACTTTATTAACACTTTCTTTCAGGATCCAGAACAGCTTCAGGACAAATCCAATGAGATCCTGACAGCCATCATCCAGGGAATGAGAAAGGAAGAGCCCAGCAACAATGTGAAGCTAGCAGCTACTAATGCACTCCTGAACTCTTTGGAATTCACCAAAGCAAACTTTGACAAAGAGGTGAGGGGCTGACAACTCGTGGCCTAAACTGCAAGGGCTGGATCCATGGTCTGTGATGAGAAATCATGCACCACGCTGAGTTTTGATGCATAATTATGTTGCAGCTGAGACTTGGATTCATTTCTGTACATCTGGCGTGTGCTTGTTGTGCCACACAAGTACTGTGGAACTTCTCAGAGGTTCATTAATGGAAAGGAGGTGTCACTGGCTTTCTTTTGGATGCATTTGAACTGACCTTAGAGTTTAGCCTATTAGATGCTCTGCTTCCCAATCAGACTCTACCCTATAATGCTGCTGCGAGAGTACAAGCTTGGATCAGCACTTCCTTTCAAGTGCTGTGGCAGCAATCCAGATTTAACTTTGCCTCTGAAAATTGTTGGGGGAGGAAGGCCTGGAAGAGGCTTCAGAAGAGGGGCCTTCGAATGAGAGTCTTTCCAGAACAGGAAAATCTGTTGATGTCTCTTTTCCTTCTTGGATTAAGTCTGTCCTCTAGGTCTCTACCAGGGAGATGTGGGGAAGATGGAATTCATGTTGTACCTTCTGCTTAGAAGGTCTTCCAGTGAGGACTTATTCTGCTTTATCTTTCTATTTTGGACAGTCTGTTAAGTGCTTTTTAAATTGGAAGTTTGGGATTCCCATTTTGAGGAAGAAATGGTTTAGAATACTGCAGTAACCTGTACTGTTCCTTCATCCTTAGAGGTGCTGTGTGAGTGACTGGACTAGGCCAGACACAAAACACATCCCCCATAGGAAGGAAGCAAAGACTTTAATGCTTTTATAAGGCAGTTCTAATGTTCTTTTTCTGTTTCTTCTTCTAGTCTGAAAGGCACTTTATTATGCAAGTAGTCTGTGAAGCAACGCAGTGTCCAGATACAAGGGTGAGTGGAATGAAGGGCTTGATTCGTCACTGCACCTTTCTGGGGAAGCTGGCTAGAACCTCTGGCATCAGCAGACAGTTGCCAAATGTTACATGGAGTAAACAGGGTTCTCTTAAGTGGCTCTAAGTATTCAAAATGAGTTTTATGCTTCAAATCAGAAGTTGTAGATGCACAAGCAATGACTTGCATCCTAGTAAAGACTTTATTAGGGAGTAAACTCCAGGCTGGGTTATTAATCTGTGGTGGGCTACAGCTTGGTTTGCAAAGGACTTGATCTGTTTTCTGCTCTGACAGGTACGAGTGGCTGCCTTACAGAACTTGGTGAAGATAATGTCCCTTTATTATCAGTATATGGAGACATACATGGGACCTGCCCTTTTTGCTGTGAGTACTTGTGTTTCTCAGCCCTCGTCTAATCTTCCAGTGCTCCTTTGTCCCAATCCAAGAGGAAAAGTTTTCTTACGTTCTTGTTTTGCTTTGCTTGCTGTGGCTGTGACTTCATGCTGGGAATCCCCCTCCTTACTAAAACATCCTTCTCTCCCCTCCTTTCTTTCATGTTTCTAAAGATAACCATTGAAGCAATGAAAAGTGACATAGATGAGGTGGCTCTGCAAGGGATCGAGTTCTGGTCAAACGTCTGTGATGAGGAGATGGACCTGGCTATCGAGGCATCCGAGGTGAGCTTCCAGATGACCACTGGAAAGCAGCAAGTGCCCGTGTTTGGGAATGCAGAGCTCATGTATTTGAAGCACACCCAAGCCTCCTCCTGTTCTCCTAAGGGGAATAGTGTGGGAGAGCCCCTGGTGTGGCAGTTACGGGTCCATGATGAGACACCATGCACCACTCTGATGCGACGTGATGCGTGTCTGTGACCGAAGCTGAGACCTGAGGCTGCACGAAGCCTGTGAGGCTGGGTGGCTGTGGGTCTTCCATGTGCTGCAGACATCATGGAGCTGGGGTCCCCAGTTTAGTTTTTAGCTGCTAGCCTGGGTACTACCAGCTCTGGTTGATTGATCCTGCTATTCAAGGTCAGTACAAAGCCTGTCGCACAGGGGCTGCCGTTTGGAATTCCCTTCCGTAACTCTTTGGGTTGCTTCTTAGGCTCCGTAACATCATGTAAAGTTCTTTAGTGTAGCTTGAACACAATCCCTTTTGCTTACTGGATTAGATTAGGATGAGCTGCCTTTTTAAGTGTGCAAAATGGTTTTAAATGCCAGCCTGGCTGGGAATTGAAACTGCTTGAGATAAAGATCCTCTGACAGCTTTGATGAGAACACGCTGTGACATACAAGTGCTGGTTTTCTGCAGATGCTATGTGACAGCTACCTGATGGCTTTTTAGCATTCAAAAGTCACCTCAAACTACTCCTGCAAGGTTCACCTAAACGTGCATTAAGCGCCTATATTAGGCATGGAAATTCTCAGTATCATGAAGATCTTTGAGCTGCTCCTTCATTAAGACAGCACCTTGAATTCTTGAGACACCATGTTGAAGGGAGAGCATTTCTTGACTTCCCTGCTGTCTTAGAGGCCTAGTGAGCTCTATTTCGTTGACACGTTAAGATTTTGGGGTCATTTACAGAACTGAGTCCTAGCCCAGCGTGCAAAAAGATTGATCACATTCTGTATAATACAGTATTTATGAGTTAAGAATAAAGTGATGGGCTAAAATGAAAGTAATCATTATCCCTTATGATGGATGTGTATGGAATTAAATTTGGGGTGGTGTTGTGCATGCAGATGCTGTTTGCATAAATTAGCTGTAGAGATCAATAACAGCTTAAACTTTGAAGGGCTCTGGATGAATCATATCCATCTTTAAAAGTAGCTAAATATATATTTATGTTGAATGCCCAAAAAAGCAAGGATAAAAGGACAGGCAGCAGCATGTAGGTTTAGTTTATATCAAGCAGACCTTTTGCTGCTTCCACTTGGGGTCACTTGTTAATTATAGGTGGCTGCAAACTGAAAACATTTCTGTTTGTCCCATGTGAGGAAGGAGGAGCTCTGTATGTGCATGGAATGACAAATGGGACCTGCTGCTTGGGTAGGACTGGGCTTGGTGCAGGGTGTCCTTGAGGTTCCTGGGTGCTCCGGTAACTGCAGGTTTGTGTTGGGAAACCATGCAAAATAGAACTTGTCACTCCTGGAGCTGATCCTTCAGACTTCCTGCCTGTGTAGCCACTGAAAATCATTTTGTAACCTCTTTTCTCCAGGCAGCAGAGCAAGGAAGGCCCCCGGAGCACACTAGCAAATTTTATGCGAAAGGAGCACTGCAGTATTTGGTCCCCATCCTAACACAAACGTTAACAAAACAGGTGAGTTGCCAAACCCCTGTTGTGTGTCCAAACCCCTGTTGTGTGTCCAGAAAACCCCTGTTGTGTGTCCAGAAACCCCCTGCTGTGCCTGCTTCCATGTTCTGGGACAGTGATTCTGCTGGTGCATGGAGGAGGAGATTGTCAGTGGTGGTCGTGGCTCCCTTGCGTAGGTGACTTCTTGATATGCTTGGTCCCAAAGGTGCTTTAGGTGCCCTGGGGTGGTTTTTGTTGGTGCACGTGTTCAGAGCACCTTTCGTGGCAGTCCTTGGGCTGGGATGAGACATCATGCACCACTCTGACCCAGTGATGCATCATTTTTAGGGCTGAGCCTGTGAGACTGCATGTGGGGTCATCTTAATTCTGCTAACACGTGCTTGTATTTATGGTTTCTGAAGAGGTTGGAGAGTTAATCTGTATAATGTGCAGTGAACCTGTATGCTGTACACTTAATCTGTATTCCCAACGAAACCTTTGGGAAATGAAACCCAATATATGGGCTCTGCATCATTTGAGAACCAATTCTTGAGGTTTACTACTTGAACTGGGAGGCCCGTGTTTGTTGAGTACCCAGTAAGCACTTCACAAGGACTTGTTTGGACTGTGCTTCTCAGCCTAATCAAAACTAATGGTATCATTTGCTGCAGCAGGTCTAATTATAAAGGAAAACTGTTAATTAATCCATCCAGGACGAAGTTCATTTGGCTTACTGCAGTGAACTGGGAAAATGCTTGGTGCTCCTAGTGAAGTCAGAGAATTGGTTCCCTGGTTTTGTGTTGCTGTCTGCATGGATGCAGAGAGTTAAATTGCAGGAGGTTCTAAAGTGCTTGTTAAACCAGGACAGATAAAACAGCTGAGAGAATCACAGGTACACAGCTTCAAAGGAATTTGGAAAGTGGCTGAGCTGACAGCGAGGGGGGGAAGAAGCTATTTAGCTACAATGGCCACTCTGCAAGGCAATGGCATGGATCAAAGGAACAAAGTCTGAACCTGGATGAGAGAGCAGCAGTTGGGAAGATGCATGAGGCTGCTGTAGGTGTGTCAGTAAAGAGCTAGCAGCCTTACACCAGGGTGGGAAGGGTACAGATGATGCAAGGAACTCAGGGTGCTTTGCTGCCAGAGATACAGCTGGTACTTCCAGACCTACATTAATTTCTAAATATAAAGGCTGGTATTAAGGCAGTGTTCCCTGCAGAAATCCAACAGGATGCACTGCCTGCAGTGGGGAAGGGATGTTTTCCCCCAGCCTGACCACGGGTGCTGTTGTCTTAGGATGAAAATGATGATGATGACGACTGGAACCCCTGCAAAGCAGCAGGAGTCTGCCTCATGCTCCTGGCGACCTGCTGTGAAGATGACATTGTTCCTCATGTGCTGCCCTTTATTAAAGAACACATTAAAAACCCAGATTGGCGATACAGAGATGCAGCTGTGATGGCTTTTGGCTGCATTTTGGAAGGACCAGAGCCTAACCAGCTCAAACCACTAGTCATACAGGTAAGGTTCGTTATGTTCTCTTGGAGGCTTTCAGAGCAAAAACTTCCTGATTTATTTGGAGGAGGCTTTGCACGTTGCTCTTAATCTAAGGAAAAGCAGAAGGATGTCACCTTTTCATGATGTGTTAGTGAGATTTGGTAGGCCTGAGGCAAGTAGGTTGGTTACATGCTTTGAATCACACAGACCTGCAGGGCTTCAGAGTAACTGCCTCCAGTTCTCAAGTCTTAACCCTGAGGAATAACTTTATGAATCTTAAAATACCAGAGCAACAGTCTGGCTGCATCTAGACTGTTCTGTCCTCCCCAGTCCAAGGGGCTACATTAAAACCCAAATTACTGTTTTCCATACATTGCTTAAAATCACCTAATTCTGCAATTCTCTTCTAGGCAATGCCAACTTTAATAGAACTAATGAAGGATCCCAGTGTTGTGGTTCGAGACACGACTGCTTGGACCGTGGGCAGGATCTGTGAGATGCTTCCTGAAGCTGCCATCAATGACATTTACCTCGCTCCACTGCTGCAGTGTCTGATGGAGGGCCTGAGTGCTGAGCCCAGAGTGGCCTCCAATGTGTGCTGGGTGAGGCAGCCCCTCGCTGGTGCATGTGGGATAAGCTTCTCTTGACAAGGGGAATGCAGCTCATATCCATATATACAAATACACACACACATATATATATTTGTTATATATATATATATATATATA